GGGCGCAACACAGGGATAATTAAACTAACCACCACAGGTTCACGCCCGGCGGGTTGCGTATCACTGGCACAACCATCAACATCGCATGCGGCGAAAACATCACCACTGTCCTGGAAATGAAATCACACAGAACGATTCATCTTCAAACACACACGCCATGAAACTTTGAAGATAATTAACCACTTGTTTGTTTGGTTTGCGTCTTCTTCGCCTTCTAATTTAACTCAATCCTCATCATCATCATCATCATCCTTTCACTCTTCTCACTTAAATACTCAAACTACACCTTTTAAAAGTCTTGTCCAAAATTGTTCTTGATGCTTGAAATGTCTCAGTAATTGCAGGTTGCACATGAAATACTTGAGGCACATGAGGGAATTGCACTAATTACTGAAGAATTTGTAAGAATATCCCCACCATTTTTTTTTTAGTATTGACATCCCATTAAGATCATATTTAAAAAAAATTACGTGAAAATGGTTAGTTGACTGGAGAAATTGTCAGGAATGCTGCAAAACATTGCCGATTTATTTTTGGCAAAACATTGAAATGTTATTACAACAATAAAGTACTAATGCTATTCCCTCAAATTTTGCACATCATTAAACGGAATTTTGAATATATGGTTACCTGAGATGTGATCTGATGAAAATGATTCCAAATAATGTTCAAGACGTCTCACAAATTTCAAATAAAACTTCAGTGCTTCCGCAATAATTCAAGGTTCATGCGGAAATTATTCGAATGAATTTCATGAATAATTTGTGATACAACGGCAAGTAAGAATAAACCTGGCAAATTAATAAGGAATTGAACCACGTTTTCAAGAAAGTAGCAAATTTAAATTGATGCCAGACAAATTCTTGACATTTTCATTGCAGAGGAAAATACAGCGAAATTTATATATTTTTTATTTTGTTTGAAGGTTAGTAGAATATTAATGCGTTTGTTTCTTGTTGTAGTCAGGTAAAAAAAAAAGTTAATTTGTGATTCTGAAACCCTACAATTTTCGACGGCTATAGAAAGTCGTAATTTATTCCAGGCCATGAAAATTAGAGACTAAAATAAAGTTTCGATTGTTGCTACAGGGTTTCGATGAATTATTCATTCCTTTTTTCGCCTCGAGGCAAACATTTTTTCTAATCGTGACCAGAAACGAAAGTAAGAACTTTTTTCTTTGACAGCCTTAAAAGATGTTTGCTGAATTTCAAGCAGGCATTTTTGAGAAAGAATTTCAAGGTTAAAACTTTAAATTTCTCCCCTCTGTTTCAGAAATTCGATTCACCCACGATCAAATTTTTCTTTCTCGTTTTTTTCCCCTCTCGTGAAGGCCAAGTTTTGATGCTTTTTTCGCACGAATTCGCGTGTGCAGAGAAAAAAATGGCAAGAAGTGCTGTGCAGAAAGAATTTTAAGATGTAATAGAACAACGGTCGCGTGAAGAAATAAAAAGAAAAAACACCAAAAAACCAAGGACTAGAAGAATGCAATTCGGACAAACGGTTCTTGAGTAACTGTACCAAAGGACACGTTCGACAGGAGCGCATAACTTTCTCCTGAATTTTATTTTATCCTATAAAAAAAAAATTTATATGCTTGAGAACAGTTAGCCTGCATTTTTATAATTTTTTGGAGATAAAAGCAAAAATCTACGGTACTTGAAATTTTCATGCAATGCGGATTTTTTGAAAATGGTTTATTTTAGAAATTTAGAAATACAGTCCATTCAATTGGGACAATATTTTTGGGAAGACTGAAAATGGACAGGTTCAAGCCCCAGAATTTGAGAAATGAAAACAAATATGACGCTTGGAGCTTATCAAGTTGGCAAAAATTTATTGATGTGATTTGGCCTGATTTTGCATCTTGTTCCTTGCACATATTTTAATTTTTTTTATGACAAAATTTGACAATATTTGCAAGTCCAAAATGTATTGCTACAAAACCATGCCCCATTGTTTTGAGATATACAAAAGTTTGTAGTGGTGAATCCATTTACAAAATCCAACTTGTTATTCTACAATACAATCAAGCAGTTTTTATTATTTTAGCTGCAGATGATATACATGGATTATTATTTTTTTCAGTGTTCGATCAATGATTTGGTCTTTCAAATGGTGGACTCTAGTTATAAAATGAATTACCTGAATCTTGATTTCCTGCCTTTGATCCTTGGCAATGTCGCGATCAATTTCGCGCTCAAATTGGACCAACAAGGGCGCCGCCATGCCAAATCTGGCGCCTCTCCTGGCCACTTCCAGAAGACACAGAACCACACTTTTCTCATTCTTTCTCGCCACCAGGTCTTCAGTTTCAAACAAAAGGCAATCAATGATTCCCAACTGCCAAAGAAACACAAAAATGGAAAAACATTAGATACAGGGTGAAGATAATTTTCAAACTGTGGTGTCTTCTGACTGCTTTCATACAGTACATTTATTTTATGGGCTTCCTGCCAGTCAGGAAATTTAACCGATTTTTTGCTTCCTGGTTTTCAGTGCATAACTGTGCTGAGGCAGATGAATTTCCTGTCCATCATCCTCTAGTGATGATGTGTCAGAGGAAATCAGTATTGTAAGAACATTGGGGACACATCATTTGAAGACTGGGACAAGAAGTTCTAAATTTTTATTAAAAAATTCAAAAATCTGGTCAAAAAATTTGAAAATATGGTCAAAAAATTCGTTACAACCAGAGATTCTGTGAAAAAAATTTGTTAAAACGGGATTTTTATAACACTGTTTATAAGGAAAACTGCCGGGACCAATGAAAAAATTCGTTATAGCAAAAAATGCATTATAATGAGATTTGTTGTAACAAAATTCTACTGAATTCTACAAATTGAGAAGAGTTAAAAGTTGAAGCTCATTTAAAATTATATCAAATCTTATTCTTTTTGCTGTTACAATTGTAAAGCAGGCATTAACATGCAAATGAAATTATCCCTGACAAAAATTTGCTACATCCTTTCTATAGCAAAAGCTGGTTGTCCTGGTTCCGCGCATCCTCAAAACATTCACAATGAATCTTAAAAACTAACTTATCAACATTGTTGAGAAAATTACTGTAAGCTTTCTTTGAGAACTTCATCTGAAGATTGTTCCAGACCTTTTCTTGTCCCATTCCTGCGTGGCCTTGGTTAGAAAAGGACAGAGTACTGTTTTTATTCTGATAATTTTCAAGTACTGAATTCAGGCAAGCACAGAAAATGTTTTAAAATACAGGGTGAGCACAAATTTTCATCCAATTTTTATACAAATGCACATATTGAGCTATTTGAGGCAACCAAGAACTAACCATAAAACATGAGATAAAAAGCTTATTTCAATCAAATTTGAATACATTTAGCTTCACTTCCTAGAGGAGAATTTGAAACGCCTTTTACAAATATTGCACAAAAACATATTAACCATAGATAAAAGATGAAAATAAAATAAAATAGTTCAGAATCGATTAAATAAAAACTTGCTTCAAGCCTCAAATCCATGTTTTTCTTTCAACTGCATTGATTGTTGCTTCAAATATATATATTTTTAATTTGTGGTCCATCTTGGATATGATCATTTGCATGTAAATAAAAAGAGGGGGAAATGACCTCACCTTTCTGCACCAGGAAATGAAATTGTGCACATTGTCCCTGGCGAAAAACGTGCCAGGTTTTGCGTCCTGCCTCCAGGGCACATGTTCGTCGGGCACATCGTACAGGGTGAACAATTTCTTCTTGTTCGGGTGCCTGGCTTTGTAATCCTGTGCCGCCTTCCTCACTTTATTTGCATGCTAAAAAAAATAAAAAATATATATAGATATCCAATGTTCTTGTATATTCATATACAGATAGAAACATAAAAAAGCTGCGACAAATCAGCAAAATCCCGTCTCCCTTTGCGAGCGAAGATTTTTTTTTTGCTGCAGAATCTAGTGCGAAAAATTCGGCCGAGACGAAAACTTCTGACCCCAAGGTTGATCAATATTTGTTTGGCCAAGAAAGGGTGGAATTGTGCAAATATCGGGCCGAGATTCCGAGACTTTGCCGAATTTTCCCTTGCAAATTCTCGCATCTTTTTCAACGTCCAGGAATTTCCAAGAAAGAACAAAATATTCGCAACTTTTTTTTTTTTTGCTGCGGTCTCTTTTTTTTTATTAGTTGAGGGAGTGCGGATTGAGTTTGGAAATTTACCTCACAGAGGGCGACACCAGTCTCCAGCTTGTCCATGAAACAGTCCACAGTGATGTTGAGAGAATAGAGGCCATTTAGCCACTCTGCCAAGTCTTCTTTCATGGCATACAAGTATTCTTCTGAGGTCTTGAATGGCCGCAGAGCTCTTGGCTCCAACAACATCACAGAGCCCGTCTGGAGCCCATAATTCTCCAACAACTCCCCCATATCACGGGTTTATTTCGAGAAACGCGTCGTTTTTTTTTTTTCACTGAGAAATCCCGACACTTTTCATCCCTGTTTCCAAAAACAAAAGAAATTTTAGGAATGACATGTGACCTTTTTTTATTCAAGTTTGAATAGACTTCATAAAAATATACTTTTTTCAAGTTATTGTCTTTGGCTTAAATCAATGGAAATTATTTTCCAATCAAATCATTACAGCTGCTGATTCTTCATAGATTTCCTATTTGCAAAAAGGTACCTAACCCATTTTTGGAGGTCATAAAAACAATTTTCATCATTATTTAGGTTTTCCTGAAAAGGTGTTCCAAAATTAATTTCTTTTTGATCACAAAAAGTCCTTAAAAATTTTACTGATCAAGGTTCAACCAAGAAATTTTTAGTTTAAGAGGTTTAAATTGCATTGCACTTCAGGAAATTAACCACCAATGATCATCCAAAAATTTTTAATTACTGTAGAGAGGATTTTGACTTTGCAAGGTCCAACTGTACTAATTTCCACATAGTTGTGAAAAATTGAAGAAAAAACTATTTATTTCTCAATCCTATCCAGCCCAACATTTTTAATCTTGGCAAAGGTATCATTTTCCTAAATAAATGTTCATGCTTCTAAAAGCTTCACATAAGTCTTTCAAGGATGGACACTCCAAAAATCCTAGGTTTCATTTTCAATCTGGATACTGAAGCATATACATGCCTTCAGTTTGAAGTATTTTATTGAAATTGAATGCTCACCAACTGCTTTGTACAAATTTCTCTTGGTAAAATTAATTATCTTCCCCAAGGATTGAAGTTGATCATCCGCATTGATTGAAATTTCATAATTTCAGATCAAATTTTAGTTGCACTGTGGATAATGGCAATGTGATTTTATGGCTGACTGATACTGAACTACAGCTTTATTTGTTGGTCAATGCAATTGGCATCAAACATGTGGGCATTATTTAAAAGAGGAATGCATGCATAAATACTGAATGTATGTTGTCAGACAGGTTTATTATTTTGATTGATTAAAATACAGATGGTATATTGCAATTTGACTGCTTGAAATGTGATGGTTGAATTTGCAGGGAGGTTCACTTGCAATTCAACCCTTGCCCCACAATTTAACCTGCTTTTTCTTTCTTTTTTACTAATATTTTAAATTTGACAGAGAGTCTCACAATTCAACCCTAGTTTGGCAATGGATTAGGGTCAAATTGCAATGTACCATCTATATTTCTTTCTGTTCAAAGATTGAGCCTTTTTGCACAAATTGTATTGAAAAAAACCAAACCCAGGAGAGATTAGTCCATAAAAACATTTTCTAGAAAGAATTCTAGTCAGCAAAAATTGCATGCTTGGCCCACAAGGCCAGCATTAATGGTCTTTGAGAAAAAATACTGTTGCTGGGATGAGAAGGGACTCAAGGGAGACACTAGAGAGATGAGAACATTGAGCAGAAGATGAAGTGATAAAGCACCAGAAAAGAAGGGGGGTGATGATCATGAGTCTGAGCTGACAGGATGTGCATGTCCCTGATCCCAGATGCTGTTGAGTAACTTCACTTGCCCATTGTCTGGTAGACACATCTTACTTTTGAAAATTAAAAAAAAAGGAAATTTTAAAAGATCTTGAAACAATAGTCTGTTCAAAGGGAAAATTTGTTCACTGACTGAGCCCTGTGGATAATTTCAAGACGCGTGAAAATAGGACAACCCAAGTACAACTTATAGTCCATTATTGATTTTTTTTACAATGAGCATAGCTTCTCTGATAGCAAAAGAATCGGACATGAATCCCAACTGAAAATTTTGATTTGTATCACATTTTTTTTCAATCCCATAGAAATAATCATGTTTGAATTCTGTTCTAATTGCACATAATCTAATAGACCAGTAAGAAAGCTCACCATTCACAATTCAAATCCAATTTTTGTCACCATCATCCTGATCAGCAGCTCTCAAGTGGAAGCATTTGCCATTTTCCTCATGCTTTAACCCTGTCTCTCCAGATCAAATAACCACTTCAAGAGGTTTTTCACAAAAAGCTTACTCAAATGTATTAGAGAAAATCACTCATTAGTATGAGAAACCTATTGAAGGTTTCTGAATGGATGTAAGAGCAAACTTCACCAGCCAAAGATTTTCAGCAAGATTGGCCTGACTTCTGAGTCCCATGTTCAGGAAGGTTCTTAGCCTAAATAAAAAGAGTAAGATTAATTAATTACTGTGAGTGAAGCTGTTATTGATTATGCTGCTGATTTTTGGAGACCATCAGAACCATGTAGTCTGCAATACTTTTTCAACTGCAGTCAATCATTTCTGAGCAAAAATTTACACAAGATTTTCATTGTGAAATTCATCACTTCTTCAGTTAGGGAACTTGAAATGAAAGCTCAAATGATTTACAATCTTGAAATGTCTCCAAATGAAAGATATATTGGAACAAGGTTTTCCATCTGAACTCAAAATTGTCCTTGATAAACCCAAATTCTTGAATCTGAAAATTAGAAACATTATGGGGTAAATTTAAAGACTACAGTACAGTATTTGCAAACCTGAAAGAAATATCAGGTAATTTTCCAATCTAATCAGAAGTACAATAGTAACATCCATCCATCCAAAATTTACCAAATTTGTGATTCAATCTTCTCAAAACTTGAACTTTATTCAGTCTCATCCTGACAAATATTTTTCACTGTAATCCCACTTCATTCTACATGGTATATTCAATAGTTTCATGTCACAGTATGACTTTTAGGTTTCTCACAGGGCTCTAGAAAAAAAATGAACATAATTTCACTTCTGTACCTGTCAAAAACTGCCCCTTGCCTTCCTTATTCTAACCTGGGTCGCAGCATGCTGCACAGATGTCGCTTCTGGTCCAACTCTCAACCGAATTTCAAACCTAAAGTCACTCATTTGCAACTTTCCTCCAAATTATCTCATCCTCGCAGCCCCGGATA